ACCCTTTTAGGGTGCATTTCGTCTAGAAGGTAAGCCCGTTTTGCATGCTTGCAGGAGGCCCGCAGTCGGATGGTGGCTATGAGCCGACGATGGAAGACGTCACGTGGCTCAGGGTTCAGGGCTTTAGGGTTTAGGGTTGAGGATTCAGGGGATAGGGTTTAGGACTTTAGGTTTAGGGTTGAGGGTTCAGAGTTCAGGGTTTTAGGGTTTTAGGGTTTGCGGGTGAAGGTTCATGAGCAATGTGATGCTGAGCCGGTAACTTTTACCACTGCTTCCGCTGTACCGAGATAAGCAATATTTCCTTGGGTAGGCAGACGACGACAGTGTTGCGATACCGGACATAGTCTCCAGGATAGCCGGCATACCTTTATATAAGTACAACACGGATATCAGGAAACATGTTGGTGAACATGCTCGCTTGCACAACCCCCTTACGAAGATCTTCTCCTCAACCAAACAGAAGCAGTCTCAGTGTGAAACACATGTGGGGGTTTCGGAACATAGGGGACCCTAATATAGTACCCCAAATAATAGGATCCTTATTATAAGGACCCCCCAAATTAAGGTACCCCCCCAGATTTTCGGAAACTCCCATGTAGAGGTGCTCAGTGTGAACGCTCTAGTGTGAAGCATGACTCCAAGCCGGAGAGGTTGACTGTAAGCTGATCTTTGGCTGTTTTTCTCCTTTTTGGAGTGGCTACTTCTCAGAATAACGGGGGCTTAGATGATCAGGGCCTTTTTCACAAAATCTGGGCCTAAAAAACGGACATGTTCAAGATTCAAGAACCCATGGTTTGCAAGAATCACTGGTGAGCAATAACGTTCTATATCCCTTATGTCTTCCCTGTCAAGAAAGGGGCAAATGCGGCCCAAGAGAGTCTCACTTGGGTTCGGCATGATATGGGGCCTTATAATATTAATAATCACCTATATTGTTTTGGGGGTTCCTTATTATGTTTATAGTTTAATATTATATAATAGTCACCTCTATTTTTTGGGGGGTTCCTTATTATGTTTAATTATAGTTTAATAATATACCCCAAAACCCCATTCCACTGCTATGCCAACGGACTTACGTAATATTTGGCATAAGCTGCAGCTCCTAATAGCACAGCTTTTGTGGCAGTGGATGGAGTTAAATCGCAGTTCTGATCTGTACCAACAGTTCACACCTGAAACGGGCGAACAGAGACCTGACAGAGCTGAATGTCGGGCACCTACTCTGGTACAAAATCATAACCTTGGCATTTTAAATGCTCTACCGCTACTTTGGAACCCGCCCTCCACCCGCACGGAATGGAATAAATGGGGTAGCACTAGTCAGGATTTTGCGCTTGTCTTTTCATTTTGGTCTAAATGGACACAAAAACATTGCCAGACCGCTGTCAAAGTCTATACTTGGACCCAAGCATTAGCGCTTTTTGTCAGACATGGCGGCGCTTCTGCTGATTTCCTTCAGCAATGTCAATATATCGGCATGGCTGCCTATAAGTTGCGGATGCTCTCCAATTTTTTGTTCCAAACACTACATCAAAATGCTGATCTTCATAGCATCTCTTTTTCCAATGACTCGCAGAGTAAGTGGCTTGAATCTTTCCCTTGCGAAACCGCATTCCCCGAAGGCTTCTTCTTTATTCCGAAGTGGAATTTAACGGATGCATCTGCCAAGCTCCAGGCTCTGCGCATAGAAGCCAGGTTTGCCGACAATGTCAATTCGCAGATTTTACGCATCACGCCAGATCTTTTTTGTGAATCTGTCGGGGTGGCAGATAAGATTTTGATGAACACTCCACTCTCTACGGATTGGCAAATACCCCGTTTTCGGAGTAAAGGCGAACAGCCTCCATGGATTGGCCAGATTCTTCAACTGTGGAAAGATTCAGCCAACAACTGTATCTCCTCCAAAGT